AATATAATTTAAATTTATAATAATAGAGAGATACAAAAGTTCAAAGGCATCATAATGATTATAATTCTTTAGAAGTTCAAAGTTATATATTATTTTAATGAATCCTAAATTTTATAAAGTTGCAATATTAACTGCAAAGATCAGAAGCGCTATGCAACATATGGAAAAATTACCTTATGTAATCTTGTTTACATTCTTTTATATTTAAAAAGGATCGTTGGTTATTTTATAAATTTATATATTTTAATAAATCAAGATGTTACTTTATTTTGAAAAATAGTTATCGAATTTGTATTTATATAAACTAATTATAAAAAATAATAGGCGGATTATTAAGTCAATTCGAAATCCGGGCTTCGGCCGGGATTTTGCGGGCCTATTTTAGCAAATTTTTTATTTCTCCCGCAAAATACCAAATTTCTCCCACCATTTGAAAATTTTGACCTGGCAACCCTTTCTCTAACATGTCCGTCCCCTCCATAGACTAATATAGGAATTGTGGATGTGTCCTCAGTCTAGAAAATACCGATTTCTCTCTTATCTTCCATACTTTTATATACGTTTAAAAGTTTCCACTCGCCTTTGTATTCTTATTTTTCTTTGCAACTACTTTTATTATTAAGTGTTATCCCTAAATACCTTTGGCGACTACATTTACCTCGTTCTAACTATAAGTTTTTGAAGTGGTTACATGTTTTTTCTTGGGAAAATAAGGAGAAAAACGGTTTTTTATTTATTTAATTTTTTCTTTATTATTGCTAGTTAACTATGATTTAAAGTCTAACTTTTTTCTTCTTTTTCAAAACATTACGTCTCATTTGAGTCTACATATTATACATCGGTCGTTCCCAGTGTTTCTCTTTTGTTTTTATGCTTTTAATTAAGAGTGGCTAGAGTTTAGCCATGTTTTACTCCTTTATTTACCTTGGAGGTAGGGGATATTCTTCGTCATTGATTTCAAAGTATCCAAACATGTATTAGTGGTTTTCTAGATCTGGAAGATGTTGGGGTCTTCCCATTTTCTGACAACGAAGCTGCATGGTTAACTTTATCAATAGCTCTGCTATAATCTAAAAATGTGAAGTAGAAGGGTGTTTGTACTTACTTTTCTGCATAATTATTTTTCTGAACTAATTTTGGCTCCAGTATATTTTTTTTGGCCTGTATAAACAATGTATTTTTTTGGGGAAAAGATGAAGTGTAGGTGATATGCTTGTGGTTTTTTTTGTGTAAACCATAAAAAAAATTTTTTTTATGCTACAGGATGTGAAGGTTATAGCTCAGTAACCCTTTAATTTTTGTGGTCTTTGTTCTTTTTGGGGTTAGTTACTTAGGTAGGATTAGTTCCATCCCACTATATTTTATTAAAAGAGGGCAAATAGGTAGCGAGATATTGTTGTAGGTGCAATTTTTGGATATTTTGCTGTGATATTATTTAGCCCCGGAGTTTTGTTTTCCCTTAGTTTTTTTTTGACCACTTGTCATTTTATTTATGGAGAAACCAGTCGAAAGGGGGGCGAGGTTTGTAATTATGTTTGTTGGTAGAGTTTTTTTCGGTGAGTGATAGACTCTCATATAACAATCAAGCCATAATGCCTTTTGTTAATCCTTGTCAACAATTACTTTTCTATTTCCTAAAACTTAGAAAGCAGGTTCCTATTTGTGCGTCATAGTTCCTTTCTCTCATATCTGACCTTTTTCGCTATATAATCTGTCTATCACTTCGTAGAGTTTTTGTTTTTCTGGAACAAAAAAAAAACCTTCGTTGTGTGGTTTGTGGCTGGATAGTCCTAAACTTATTACTGACTAATTTTTGTCTATTCACTGGTATTTTCACCTATTTAAACAATTTACGGTAAACCGATTAGCTTTTTCTTATTTTTCATGAGTAAATTCGAAATTCAATTGATATGAACACATTCTCAATTATTGATAGTAATTATTATACATTAAAGATGTTAAACTTAAAATTAGCCACCACCCACCCTTTAAATTATTTTTGCAGTTCTTGGGTATAGGCTTTTGTTTTGCCCAATTCTTAATTCTTTTTGTTTATTAGCCTATAGACGTTTAAGCAACAGTTCTCGGACTGTTGCGCGTACAAGTACGTGCGGCTTGCCCACAAACGTGTGAAGGGCTCCTCATTTTCTCGCCTTAATTACCTATCCAGTTTAATGGATTTTTATGGAAAACCTAGCGTAGCTATATTTTATCCACAACCAGAGGGCGAAAACGCTTTTATCACGTGTAATCTTTTTTAAATTTTTAGTTCTTCAGCACATATTAAATATAACTATTGTAATTTTTAGAAGATATTTTAGTAATTTTTTATCAATTTAACTTTATTTTTACATATTTTTAGATTTAATATAGTAGTTTTCACGTAAATCTCATCTTTTAGATAAGTGTTATTTCAAATTTACAATTTTTATAAAGACTTTTCTTAATTAATATTAGGAATCATCAAGGTATATCTAGATAATTTTATCAAATGTAATTATTTTGGATATATATTTTGAATAATTATTTTTCCAGAATTGTAATTTTAATACATTGATCTATTAAATATAGTCAATTATTTATAAACATTTTAGTAGTTTTTATATCTTTGATTCTATGTTGTAAGCCTTATTTGGTAAAATTAGATATAAAATTTTCCTAAATTATATATATCTGCAATTAATAATTATCTTTCTTAATTTTATAAAGATAGATTGAGATGGGCTGCTGTGCATTTTCATGCAACCACACAAACTTGTAAAAAACTTCTTTTCATAGATTTTTTTAAAAAATTCTATTATATTATCAAACATAAATATTAATTTTTTTTAGGTTCCCTCCCAAGAATAAAATTTTATTATCAAAATGAATAAAGGCAATAAATAGGAAAAACTTAATTTCTACTAAAATTACAGCTTTGTGAAGCCCATTTTACAGCAAATTGTTTTATACCTTCAGTTATAAGGTATCCTAATCTAAAGGGAGGATCTGTACCATCCATTTTTAATCTTTCCATTCCAGGATATAGCTCAAGCCTCATACTTTAAGTCACTTTAAATTTGAGTATTTTTTAGATAATCCTTTTTTATAAATTAATTTTTTGGGTGCTAATTATAGATAAGTATTCTAGCTCATGGTGATGTAGCAATTTCATAATATCTATGAAAAATTGCCTTTATTACCTGAATATATAAAATCTTTTCGCCTATATTTTTTACCTTTTCATATGATCTAAAATATTTATTATTGCTAGATGAAAGTTTTACATACCTTATTATCGAAGGCATACTTTGTCGATTTCTGAAAAAATAAAAGTGAGTAAAAAGCGACGTAATAGCCTTGAAAATAATTTATATAAAATTGAAAGTGACCATGTGAAAAGAAACATATTTTCAAAAATAATTACATATATCAGAAATCTCGGCCCGACTCGGATATTTTTTTAAAAAAATTTATCGACCCTGCACGGGCAAAAAAATTTTCGGTTTGGGTATTTTTTTAAATTTCATATAATATTCTTTAATTTCTAGAGCTAATAATGGTGATTCAAATTTCATTTTAAAATATAAAGTCTTTAAATTTTATATTAGATTAATTTTTAATTTCTATAGCTAATAATTGTGATTTCAAATATTTTGTTTAAAATATAAAGTCGGCCGTATTTTTTTAAAAGAATTTTAAGGCATGGGCCACATATTTTTTTAAAAATTTCAGACCTGGCTATGATATATTTAAAAAAAATTAGAATATAGGCTGGTCCGTGTACCTGTCCCAGGCTTAGGGCCAGGCCTACAAGTCTGAAATATATTAAACAGACACATGTATTGCTCTACAAAACCTTCATTTAGCCAGATTAAATTATTAGGTTAAATGTATTTAAGAATAATTTTATATTATGCACATAAAGACATTCTTGGATATTATGTATATTCACATCAGTGGTCCGCAATACCATGATCAAATTCTCACATCTAAAAAAAAATTTTGGGCCATGCTTGACAAATTTTTTGTATATATATTTGATGAATAAAATAGCGTTTTTAATTAAATCACTCCCCAAGATCATAGTTGTTTATTTAGGTTCAACAACATATATTTTGGTTCAGGCCTAACTTAAGTAAAAAATTGAAACTGGTCCAGGCTGAGTGCTGGGCATTAATTTAATTCTCACTGAGCAGGGCCTGATAATTTTGTCATTTGCCAACCACTGTTCACATATATCTTCCAAATATTTGATCATATTGAAGAGATTATAAATATATACTTCATTAACATAGTTTATAAAAATAATATTAAATAAGCTCTCATAACAAAAATTAATTTCTGATTCACACCTCATAAAAAAGGTTAATAATAAAGGAGACATTTCTGATTACCCATCATCAAATAAAAGAGAAATTCATTATTCCCCATCATTCTTGACAGATTATCTGCTTATATAAATATAACTCCTTTTATATATAAAAACTATAATAATAAGACAACTCTATGAAAAGATGATAGATATTAGGGCTGTCGGATGCTTCAAATAAGTTGAGATCCCAGTCTTAATTTTTTAATATCTATATATATACGACAGTAATCTAATTTCTAAGATAACAAAAAAAAATTATAATGATTCTTTTTTTTTCTACTGAAACTATATTATTACCTTCTTATATTAGGATTGAGTATATAAAGAAATTATTTTGACATATTATGAAATTTATATCAAAAAGATTTAATTATCTTCTACATAATTTATGCTTAGTTGTGACTACATAAAAAGAACCTTCAGAAAATAATTTAAAAAATATCTTTGTAATGTGATAACCCCTTATATGTTGCTGATGAAGAGTAGTATATATTTAGTACTTAGAAAGTAAAGCATTAGTACCTTCAAAAATGCAGTTGTTAGTAATTGATAAATCATAAAGTTTTATTGAAATAAGTATGTTATATAAATATTCTCTATTCAGCTTCCAAATTGCTGAATAAAATTCTAAAACTATGGTTTAAATATCTGAATTAAAAACTCTAAATAACTATATTAAGATCCAAAATATTTTTTTATAGTTATAAGTTAAAAATGAAAAAAATAAAGAGTTTTAAATGAGAATCTCCAGGTTCGATAGTGGTAGGTGGCAATATTATCTAGTGTCCTTAAATGTTGATACATTAAGATGATACAAAAGCAATTGTTTTCATTATGGAGATTATATATTATATTAGATAAAATTAACATTACAAAAGTATAATATATCATATTTATATGCAGAATATGGTAAATAAATAAAATTAATAATAAATAATATTAATAACTAGATTTGAGGTAATAGCCTTCTGATATCAATGGTGATCTATATATCATTTTATCCTCAATATCTTTAAGAGCATAATTATGTTCACACAACTCTAAAGCTTCCCATTCAGCCTAAATTTTTTTAAAAAATTTAAAAATTGTTATAATTAAACTTTAAATGCTTGTTTAGGATCTGGAGGCATAGAAAGGGCTGCACCTGACATTTGATCCTGCATTATTTTAGTTTGATCTGCAGCTATTGATTCAAATTATTATTCATCAAATATAAAATAAAAGCATACCATTATTTTCCCCCAACACTAATGAGTATATACTACGTAGACCAAATACATTTAAAAAATACCATGATGCTGAACTGACCCTAAAAATGGTGATGTATAATATAATATTTATAATATAGCATACCAAGAAGCATCCAATGATTGTAATTCAATACCTCGTTGAAGCATTGGCTTAAATCTCAGTGTTAAAGGGAATGGAACTTTGGCTTAATTATAAAAAATAAAATGATATATATTTAAAAAATTACTTGTAACAAATCCAGAAAATGTCCAGTTAATCCACCCACCAATGACAAGCATTGGCAACATATTTGTCAAATTTCCTTTCAACATTTCTGTCATAACAGCTGGGTCTATAAAAGATGTATATTAATAATTCATAATAAAAAAATTTTCATTTGCTATATATATATATAATTTTGTAATAATGAAACATGTTTTTAAAATACATTCTTTGGCATGTTTAGAAAATTGTCATTGTGGATTTATCATGCATTTAATATTCATTTAATATTAAATATATTATTAAACCTATTTTTATAGATTACTAACCTGTTATTGGATTTTGCACAACTGGTTTTCGCTTTTGATTCTTAAAATATCCATTTTCAATATTATTAAAATAATTTTTCCTCGCGATAAATGACTTACAATTTAATTTAAACATGTAACCGAATTAAAAGTATACCTGTTTAGGAATAAAATTACCATTTTCTCTCAAAAACCGACTCCTAATTAGGGCTTGACTATTAAAATATTTGAAACATTAATAATAATTAAAATATCACCTATCTTGAATTTGCTGTATTTCAACGGTTTTGGTAGACAATAATAAAATTGAAACATAATGTCGAACGATACCAACTAAGAAGGTTATTACAACTATAGGCAAGAATACATAAATCCTTATTTTCGAATCTAATAATAGATCGTGCATCTAAAATTATTTTTTGATTGATATGTCGATGGCAACCAATAATCAGGTTAAAATAAAATCGCATTTGTTCATAGACTGGCATTAGGTATAATTATTAAAATTATTCGAATACTATGGGATAATAAATTACTAGTTTTGATGGAATAAGAATAAAGATCACTTAGAATAAAACGAATAACTCCAATATTCAATAAAATATTTAGATGAAGATAATAATAATAGAAAAGTGTGGACTAATTCAATGACATAATATGTCATTGGGTTTAATTACTATAAAAAATATGTTTGAAGATCAAATAACAGTATAATTATGCATTGTTTTAGTGGTTTGAAAATACATGAAATTAGAAGAGATAGGTAGAATAATAGTAAAAAGGTATATAACACTCAGAAATATCTTAAACGATTACCAGAGAAAGAGTAATTTCAGTGGCCCCTACACTTTCTGAGCGAATGAAGCAGAATACCCCCCCTGAAAAGTACCCCCTTGAAAAGTACGCCCCCCCCCCTCCTCGAAAAAATGATAATTATTTATGACACCCATAAATTTCAAAAATAATTTTTATTGCATCAAATTTTTTTTATATATAATATAAATAAAATGCAAAAAATATATACTTTATAAATATTATTATAAAATTAATAATTTAGATAAATTAGGGGAAGAGAAAGCGAAAGAATTTATAATTTCATCAATATTTAATTGTTTAAATAAATTTTTTTCCATTGATAATAGGGTTAAATTATTGAGAAATGAATCTTTCATGGTACTACGAAGTCTTGTTTTAATTAATTTAATTTTAGTCATGACTCTTTCGGCAGTACATGAGGTTGTAAGTAGTGTTGTTAAACGGCTAAGTCGAGTCGACAGCCTAAAATTTAGTCAAGTTTTGAGTCGCAAAACTCATTTCAGTTTGAGCGGCTCAATGAGCCGCATGAGTCGGCTTTAAGTAAACAACTTTAATGAGCATAATATATAGAGGGACTCTGAAACCGACTCATCGAGCCGACTCTGAAGCCGACTCATCGAGTCGACTCATGCGCCTCATTGAGCCGCTCAATTTGAAATGAGTTTTGCGACTCCAACTTGAGTTCAAAGTCGTAAAAACTCGACTATTTAACAACACTAGTTGTAAGAATGGTTAATAAATATTTATATAAAATTCTTAAATTAGGGAAAGCAGAAAAATTTAAAGTAGACAAGGTAAAATAAATGAATAGTTTTTCCAATCTGAATCGTAATCATCATCAGAAGAAGCTAAATAATGTATTGGTAAAATTATTTTACAATTCTCAGAATCTGATAAATCTTTAGATTCTTGAACTTCTAGGTCATGAGTAATAATTACATTTCCCATTTTAGCCATCTTATAAATATCTAAACTTCAACATTTAATCGAAAATTTGACTTGAATTTAAATTATAAAATTCACAGATATCCTCGATATCTTCTTTAATAATTTATTTTTCTGCCATTCCTTTTGGCGTAAAAAATTATGTTTGATGTAAAAATTTCATCGAATCATCATTAAATCTTTCGTTAAACTCATAATAATCAAATCGAGTGCAGCATGATACACAACTATAAAAAACATCTAAAAATTCAATGTTATTATCTATTATATTAAAGAATAATTAGAGAATAATTTATTTTATACTTCTCAAATTAATCAAGCAATCTTTTGCCAATTGAATTTAATTTATTGCAAACCCTATATCCTTCGAAAAGGTTTGCAATTTTGTACAAGCCAAACTTGTTATCAACAATATTTTATCCAAAACACAAAGAGATAAGATTAAATCAAATTTTTCTATTCTAAAGACTATAGCACTAGCCATAGTGGAAGTGGCAGGATCTTCAGAACCCTTTAAATTTGTTAAAGCTGCCCTCAAGGCATCATAAAGTAGAAAAATTTTTACAATAGCTTTATATGACGATAGCCAGCTTCTAAATAAAAAAACATTTAAAATCTAAATAAATAAGGTACTATTACCGAGTGGTATTCTTGATGCGTAGAAATCGTTGCGATTTTTTCAGATCATTACACTGACATTTTTTGAGTGCCTCATATCTTTTTACACCATTAAAATAGATATAAATTTTATCTAATATTCCTATAACATTTCGAAGTTCTTTAATTGATTGGCATAATTGAACAATGATTAAATTTAATCGATGACAATAACACCAAATAAAAGCTGCCTTTGGCGCCTCTGCTCAATCAAGGCCTGCAAACCATTGATTTCCACTCATGTTTGAGGCGCCATCATAACTTTGCCCAACTAGGAATAGGGGTAAATTTATCGATCCAAGTATGGATATTATATTATGCTTAATATCGAGACCTGTGGTATTTCCCGTACAATATATGTCAATCAGTCTTTCAACAGGCTTCGGCGTCTCACTATTTTCAACATATTTTACTATCAAAGCTATTGCTTCTGATTTCGAAACATCATATGTGCCATAAACTATGATTGAAAAGCACCTTTTAAATGTAATCTCATTTTGAATTTTTTTTATAACCATATTTTTCATGGTTTCAATGAGAATATTTATGTTATTATATGAGATTTGAATATAATTTCGTTTTTAATCCCTTATTTTTTTTATCCCTTTTTCTTTCTTCATTTTGTTGTATATACATCATATCGTTAAAATTAAGCCCACCATGTCTTTTTCTAATGTGATCTATCCATTTATCATCTCTTATATTATGCGATTTGCAATTTTTAATTAGGCATTTGTATTTTTTTTGGTTAATATTTTTAGGCATATTTTAAAATTGGAGACAAGAAATCTCGTATAAAAACCTAATTTATTAAAAATTTCCGTCAATATATATTAAATTAAATATTAAGTTGGGGGGGGGGTCTTATTATTACATTTATAAAACAGAAATCACTTGATCATGATGGATGTAACAAAACAGTAAAAGAATTAAATAATAAAGAAAATTTTTTAAAAAAATTTTAAAAAAAGTACCCCCACTCAAATTTACTGAAGCAGTTGCTTCGGACCCCCCCCCCCCCGTTGTAGGGGACACTGAGTAATTTTAACTTATATATGGGTTAATTCTATATTATGTTTTGATTTAACAAATTAATTAATATATGCTAAGAGATTATTACAATTTGCATCAGTCTATTGTAAAATTAAATAAATAGCGGTATGCTGATTAGAGGTCTGCATTGGGCGTGTTTTTTGACCAAAAGCCCGCCCATACAATGTTTATAAAAAAAATTAACCCGCCCGCCCAGCCCTATAATTTTCAAAAAATATATACCCGCCCGCCCCGGCCATTTGTCTAAAATTCTTTCCCCGCTCGCCCGCCCATTAGCCTAAATTTTTTTACCTGCCCTCCTATTATTTATAAAAATTTTTAATCCAAGCCCACTTATAAAATTTAATTATGGTCATTCTTTCATTTTTTTAAGCATCTAATAAAAATATTTCATTACTCCTCTACAAAATGTTTATAATTTAGGAAATTAATATAAGTATAAAAATAACCATAAAAAAACGTTCTGTAGTGTAGGCCTGCAGTCGCTCTCAAAAACATTAGTTTTATATGGCTCCAAATAATCTATCAGTGTTTTAAACCTTCCTTTCCCATAGATCCTATTTTTTCACTCATATCACGAGATTGTAAGAACGATAAAATCTCATCATACATTATATAAATACTTTGTAGCATCTTATGTTTTGTATTCCATCTTATATCAATATTTTTTTGTAACGTCTTGCTCAGATATTTTATGTTGCCACTTTGTTTGAAATCAGTGGTCAACGATTTTGCAGTGATCAAAATGTTATTAGGTTCAACATATGTGCTGAACAGTTTAGTCTATTAAATCTAATATTTAAAAAAATAAACAGAAAATATAGTTCTCTAAATATGAATGTTTTTATTTAGGTGTATACAGAACAGAATCTCTCATAAATTATTATAATATCTACCAATTAAATAAATTTTAACAAAAAATTTATCCTTCCAGCGCTTTTTTAATATTTAATCCTTGGTAGGTGATAAAGATGAGCTTGGAAAAGTATTCTCGGGGCACACCAAGTTTTTAAAATTTTTTTAATAATTCTTTAAAAATATTTTCTCCTGTCTTTTTTTCCTTTGGAAATTTTGAAATAGAAAGTATTTTTTTTTTTAATTTCCAATTTTTTATATAATGGATTGATAATGATATATAATCGGTTTTTGTAAAATCCTTGCACCACATATCTGTAGTACATGGGAAAATATAATTTTTTATCATTTCTCCAATTTTAGGAAATAATATTTCCTTAAGATCCTCAGTAACTTTGGATATGTGCCTGCTAACGGCTGTGGGGCAAGAATTTTTTCGGCTTCCAATTTTCCATATGTGGCCCCTAAGGCTAAAAATCTTTGCAAAATATTTACAAATCCTGGTCCTTGAATGGCTTGAAAGGGCCTAAATAAATATAAAAGTATAATTTAATAAAAATTAAAATACCTAATATCTCTAGCCTGGGGTGTCGCTAGCTTTTATAATCTCAGAGGGCTCAACTAAAAAAATTTATTGGGAGCGAAGCCCCCCATACTTCTTATTTACTGGTCTTCGGCCCGCTTTTGCCCGGCCTTCGGCTGGGTTATATATTAATATGTTATACTTTTTAAAAATTTGCTATCTCTGAATAATTATTATGAATTCTATATTTTAAATTATGCATACAAAATAAACTAGCATGTAAATAATTAAAACAATAAGACATTTCTTAAAATATTATTTTTTAATACAAAATCTATTTATTACAGTATAAAATATTTTCGATTGCTGATATAAAAAATTTGCGTCTAAAGATTTACAAGTGATAAAAAAGGTTATTTAATTCATATATATGCCTCAAATAATGGTTTTATAAACTACATATTATAAAATTAGCAACTTACATTGACAAAAGGTCAAGAAACTAATATAACACTCATTTTTAGACAATGTTTTATAGAATGGACTAATAAGGAAAAATTTATAGGCCTAAC